CGACTATTGACTGGAAACCAAATGCACTTAAAGCCTGGGCCAAGCCGGGACTCGAACCCGGGCCTCATTGGTGCAAAGCGAGGAAAGAGCCACCACGCTAACCCGCTCCCCCCTGCTGGAGGTTTATAGACAGGATGCCGTTTTATAAAGGAAACCGAAATTAATTTATCTATTTCTTGAATGTGACCAATAATTGTTGTAAATATAATCTATTTTAATACATAAAGTCCTCTTTCGTATGATACCAGTAAATCCAAATTTCCGTCACACATGACCGAGCATGCAGCGGTTAATGGATCGTGTTAGAAATGGCTTTCCACCAAATGCATCACAGATTTGCACAGCGTGAAACAGTATTAATTCAAAGTTAACCACAGTTAGGGGCTTATTCTTTAAGAAGCCTAACCACTGTGTCTTTCAACATGCCCCTCATTTCTTTCAATGCATACTTCTGCTTTTGTTCTCGCTTTTAAATGGTATTGTGCATTTTGGAGATTCAGTAAACATTATGTAATTCTGACAAAAAGCTATCACTGGATGGAATGAATTCAACACCAAAACAGCTACATTTATTTGGTGCAAACCATTTCTTACACGGTCCATTAAACCACTGCATGCTCAGTCATCTGTGACGGAAATTTGGATTTCAGGGTGTCATACAAAAGAGGGCGTCATAATGAAACAGGTGGTGGTTACCAACATTCATATTGCTGTCGCTTTCGGTATGCAAAGACATTGCACTTTACTGGCGTCGTATACCTGTTGTTGACTTTAATTAAAACAGTGTTTAAATACAACGATATTATTGCCAGAAGTGACCTTGTGAACTAATTACATTTACAATACTATATCTTACTCGCCGGGCAGAAATCCAGAATTATAGTGGTTTCCAACATGATGAATATTTATATGTCATTCTGGCAATTCTAATGAACTATCGGTCATGTTTACGAATTGCCAATTTGGAAAATCTTAAAACTTGAGTCTTTCATGTCATCTTTATAGGATTGACTCGGCAATGGCAAACAATCTTATCGATCAGGTGATTCACCGACTCCAACCAGCTACCGACTCCACTGTATGCAGTGATTCGACCCGACGATACAGGACGCCGGACGGTACCTGCAATAACCAGGAGCACCCGGAATGGGGGATGGCAAACCTGCCGCTAAGGAGATTCCTCCCGTCATCGTATGACGATGGTAAAAAAAAAAACAGGCCCCAACAAAGAGTTGGAATTCATTATTAATTACAACGACTTCAGAAACAGAACAGTTGCTGCAGGCTATCTCACTTATACTAATGATACGATTCATGTTGCTCTCAATTAGTAACGACAGCTCAGTATAAGCCTGTGCTGTCTTTAGGACGCTTTTTACATTAAATATGCATTTACACTTTATAATTTTTTTTTTCACAGACAAAAAAGCCCCACGTAAATCTTCTAGTGGTTACAACTTACCAAGTGCGAGGATGGTTTCCATTGGTGCGACTAATGAAGTCAGAGAACTGTTAGCCAGTGGGTATAGCGCTCTCAACGTCCATTTTGGTCAGCTGCTCAGCCATGACCTTAGCCAAGTCCCACAGATACCAGGTAGTCTTTAAAATGTCATCTTCCCTCTCGTTTCTAACTGCAAAAGAAAGAAAAAGAACACCTGCAACTCATGAGAGTGTATCACTATATCGCGCCTTTGTAGCAATTCTAGCACCAACTCTCCATAGCATTTATTTTATAAAAGTTTATGTGAGAGCAAAAAAAATTAAATGTTCCTTTGCAAGTTCAGGTTTAGTATAACAGTCAGATTGTGTCATGATCGTTTTTCGTTACTTCACTGGCTGTAGTTAACCACAACCGTTTCGGTCCGATTTGGCTTTAATTTGTGTCACGTAGTTTTAAAAGTGTTGCCTAAAAGACCCAGGAATAAAAATAGAAATTCAACAGAAACTTAGGCACAGACAATTTTTTCTCTCCAGGTAAATGCAGTGACTGTCAGATGTCCGACATCTGTTTTCCCATTCCGATTCCTACCAACGACCCAGTGTTCACTGATCAAAAGTGCTTTGACTTTTCACGGTCGGTTGGTACACCATCTCGATACGGAGACCAGCCATGGGCCTGTCAGCAGACCAACAGGATTACATCCTACCTGGATGCATCTTTCGTGTACGGGTCCAGTCTGAAGACCATGGATTCACTGAGGATACGCAGTGGTACCGAGCTTGTTCAAATTTGTCATCAAACATTTGCTCTTTGCGAGTACACGGTGTGACACATAACTTTGACGTTTTAGTGCACAGTGGATAGTCTGTTGAACCATTTTTATTCTGATCGTTACAGATCATTTGAAGCAAGATATGGGACGGAGAGAACCCCCCGCCTTTGT